AACTCTTGTGGTGAAGGCTTCTCCTCAAAGTGTTTCTGTGCCAGTTGGGACACTTTCCCCTCCGTGCCGTGGTGCCCACATAGTAGGAACTGGCCAAGTGTGGAGGCGTGGAGGCCGCCACTGCCTGGCGTCTGTCCCAAAGCCTGGGAGCCGGTGGCGGTGGAGGGAGCCAGCTGGAGAAGCCGCTTCCATTGTGATGAGTTGCTCTGGCTGCCCTGCCAGCCACCTGGCCGTAGGAGGCCGTTGGCTGCCCTCCACGTCTGCCTCTTCACCGTCATAGCCAGGAGCCACAGTTCTCTCTACTTGCCTTCACTTCCAGAAGTTGTATTAGAGCTCACTGCTCTTTGGCCACGTTGGCTAGTGTTGGCCGGTGCATTAGGAAGGCTGGGGACGTTCACGTGGCTTTGCAGCTTTGCAGCTGTGGGCACTCACTGCTCTTTGGCCACGTTGGCTAGTGAGGATAGCTACTGTTGGCCGGCGCATTAGGAAGGCTGGGGACGTTCACGTGGCTTTGCAGCTTTGCAGCTGTGGGCAGCCGAATATTTCTCGGCAACCCAAAGTCAGACCACAGAGTTGATGGTTCTGTCTGTCTGTCTGTCTTCTGCTCAACATCAGATACACTGCCTCTGTGCATAGAATCTCTGTTTAGCTCTTGTAGACAAACGGATGGTGGTCAGTTTGCCTCTATCAATGTGGCTCCATGAAATTCATGATTTATATCAAAAGGAAAAAAAGCTACGCTTCCAGTGGCATGGAACGGCAGTAAAACAACTTAAGCGCATACAGAAAACATGACTTAAAACATGACTTAAATCCCAGCACGGATTACAGTACATCATAAGGGCTCCAACAGGAAATGTGGTGCAATAAAGGTAGGCCTTCACCTATTAACACAAAATCAGTTCAAAGAAACCCAGTGAGTTTTTACCTCAGGGCTGTAACCTAGGAAGGAGAAAGTGGGGCTTTGCCCCAGCACACGAAAACCTAAAAGGCACCAGAATCTACAGCGAATGTTCTGGTGAGTCTTAAGGAACTCAATGGCGACAGTTCCCAGCTCAACAACAACAATAAATTGTGAACCATCAAGTCAGTTGTGACTTATGGGGACCCTTTTTGGGGTTTTCTAGGTAGAGAGTAACTCAGAAGGGGTCTCCCCTTCCCTTCTTCCCTTCTTCTTGGGGTGTCCTGGGACTTGCGCCGCTTAGTCACGGCTACACACAAACATCCTTTCCTTCTTCTTGGGGTGTCCTGGGACTTGCGCCACTTAGTCACAGCTACACACAAACATCCTTTTGCTTGCTGGCAACGTGGGTACGATATTGTGCAGCATTATCAGGACATTTCCTGGTATTTTGAATCGGTGGTAAAGCAGCACAATATCCCACATTCATAAACCAGAGGGTTTTTTTTTGAAGATTTGTACAGTATTGCCTAGCTTTTTAACATGGAAGTTTAAGTATATATACACTACACATACATTCCAACAGAAATCTCCTTCATGTAGAATTAGCCAGAGGATCCCAGAAGATGAGCAGATGATGAGTACGATGGTTGCTGTGAGAGGGCAGAAGCAAGAACAGCTGAGATGTGGCTGAAGTCCCTCTGTGTCAAAATATTTTGAAGGGCTGTTTTGGAGGCTTAATGAAATGATGAAGCAAAGGTTTGAGGAAGCCATCACAGATGATGAGGGGGTCTGGAAACCAAGCCCTAGGAGGAAAGACTGAAAGAATTGGGCCTGTTGAGCCTTGAGAAAAGAAGACTGAGGGATGATAGGATCACACTTTTCATATACTTGAAAAGTTATCATGCAGCAACATAATAATGTGCTCAAGCTATTAGGAAAACTTCCTAACTGTTAGAGCAGTACAACAAAAATTAATTAATTTGAAATGTGGCGTTGGAGGAGAGCCTATAGATATCCTAGACAGCCAGAAAGGCTGGAAAGCGGGTGTTCCATCAAGTCAACCCTGAACTAGAGCAAAAAATGAGTAAACTGAGGCTATCCTACCATGCACGTATAATGAATATACAGAACTGACCAGGAAAGACAACCACCTGGAATCCTTTGATATTTCTGGGAAAAGTATAAAGATCTAAAATGGGACAAATCATCTCAATAACGGAATCCTCAGCTGTTAGTTTGTAAAACTTGAGTAGAACGTAGTCAAAAAGACAATATTACTAGGACTGGGGGGGGGGGCAGTAGGAAGAGACAACAACCTAACATGAGATGCTGTTAGTTTGCAAGATCTGAGCAGAGCTCTTAATGATAGGAGATTTTAAAGGTCATTATTTCATATAGTCACCACCACACCTCAGAAATGACTTGATGGCACATAACATCTTTGGAGGGTGGGTTTTTTGTGGCGGGGGGGGACACAATTGTACAGTGACAAGATGGGTGGAATGGTTGAAACTATGACAGGATATAGGCACCAAAGCTTTGCTAACAACGAGTAAGACCATCCCCAGCCACAAAGCAAAAGCCAGTAATTTTAAAATGTAAACAAAGGAGCTTCTGAATATTTGTTTTGTATTCTTTTTAAAATATCTTTTTCAAAATCTTTTAAAACCAGACACAGAATCCCTTTGTAATGCCTATCTGGCCAGAAGGAGTTAAAAAGTTCTCCTGCTGAGAGTCAGCTAATTGGGTCCTGACTGACAAGGTCAAAAGTTCAGATTGCCCCATACCTAGAGCTGATTTCCCCTTTGAAGACTAGTGTAGGAGCCTGGTTTCAGAAATGGTTACTGAAAGCATTCAGAGTTGGATAAACACAACTGCTCTGATCTTTTCTAATGAAGAAATACTTTGAATGTGCCTTACAAAGTTGTATACTAATTCCTTGGAGATGCATGACTGTCTCCATAACCTTTCATTGCCCTACAGACTTCCAAATATGAAGCTGCAACAATGTGTATACACTTTGGACTGTTCTTCTGGATAAGCCTGTGTTACAAAGGGGTTTATGCTTCTGGCTGTGGAGCCAGAGGTTGGGAGTTCAATTTCCCACTATGTGTCTTTGACAGGGGCTGGACTCAATGATCCATAGGGTGCCTTCCGGCTCTGCAGTTCTAAGATGATGATGATTAAAGTCACTGCTTTTCCTTTTTGATAGGACTTTTTTTGAGAATCAATATTTCAACCCCTGCGGTCAGGATTTTTTCCAAATTTAAGAAAGTTGGTGGGGCCAACCATTTTTTTTCAGTTCTGTAATCTGTTTTAAATCTGGGGATATTTCCTGTTGCTTGTTTCTGCACAAGGGGAGGGTAAACAGCTTTTTTAAAAAAAACCATAACTCAAAACCCCTTTGTCCAAACTTCCCCAAATTTGGCATGGAGCAAGAACAATCTCTCTGCTAAAATTTGTGCCAAATTTAGTGCTCACCCAAAGTCCCATTTCAATGTTATATATTTTTTGTTTGGGCTGCCCCCATTCTCAGAATTGCCTTGTAGAAAGGTGATTTCCTCCACTGCACAATAGCATCACTGTCCTCTTGTGTATTGATATTGAATTCTAATAGACTCTGATCATTGAACTGAAATGTTAACTTTTTCCTACTATGGTCATGTCAGTTGGTCATTTGGGAGTTCCAGATTTGGGGGGGGGGGGGTAATATTTGCAAGCTCTAACGTGGAGCAAAAGCACCCGAAGATGAAATTCTCACTCATTCCTATTTTTAGTCCTTTTTCATTTATAGGTTACACTTGGAGAACTGTGTAACATATTCTCCCATACAGTAACAAATTCCTGCCATTGGCCAGTATGAACGAAATACTGGACAAAACTGGTGTTTGTGTAACTTGCTGTGGCTAATTACAGCTGATTACTGAGGTGGTGGGGTGTGTCTCAGTCACATGCCTGATTGTGCGTGTGAGATGCACCCCAACACCTTGTCAATTGATCACAATTAGCCATGGTAGGTTTTGGGCAACCTTACTGAAACACCGATAGGATTCCAGCTACTGGCGCTGTTACACCAAGCCTCCCTAAAACCCC